CAAGGAAGCAAGCAAGGTTTTGGAATGCTACAAGTAACAAGAAGCTGCTAGGGGCGGCCTTACTACTAGGAGCAAGAAGCTACTAGTAACAAGAAGCTACTAGGAGCATGTGGCTACAAGTTGGACGTGTTTTTGTGCGAAATGTTCAAACGCTGTGCAGTGCAGCGCGGTGCTCTGGTTTGAGCGATCCTTACAGCGTGTCGTTGCCTGCAGACGTGATTGATGTGGGGTGTCTGGAACACTCTCCTAAGGTCCTACTGTAGGAGGCCATCGCTCGTAGCTTGGAGGCCATCGCTAGGTTGGCGCAAGGAGTCCACCGTGTCGGACTTCGCTGCTCATCCCTCATCGCCCATCGCTCGCTTCGTGTGTCCGCTTCCAAGCGGCAACAGGAGCCGGGAAGATCGTGCCAAAGGCGCCTGCTAAACCTGCAAGGATGTAGGCTCGCCTGGCGTGCGAATGTGAATCCAGGGAAAACGTCGACGTGTTGCATCTGAGATGAACAAAGAAGACCTTGGTGCAAATTGAAAGGCAACAAGGTGACCAAAAAAGAAAGGATAAAAAAGGTCCAAAGGGAGAAAGAAAGGGAGATAATTATAAGGTGTATATATACATATAGAAACAATGTTCGCTACTAGGAACAAGTGCATCGCTACTAGGAGCAAGGGCCTTACTACTAGGAACAAAAAGCTATCAATTTTTATTCTAATAGCAAACATTGTTACTAGTAGCGATGCACTTGTTACTAGAAGCGATGCACCTTGCTCCTAGTAGCGAACATTGTTACTACTAGTAAGGCACCTGTTACTACTAGCGTGGCACTTGTTACTACTAGCTTCTTGTTAGGAATGGGAAAGAAAAGTCTCCGACTCACGGTGACTTGGACTGCCTTCGCTGATCGGCTGCGGTCTCGTTGGTAGAGGGCAAAACCCTGAGCATTTCGAAGAAAGCGTCTCAACTCCAAAGGTCCAGAGAGCGCTCCTAGTAGTAACAGGTGCATCGCTAGTAGTAACAAGAAGCTATTATAATTAAACTTAGTAGCTTCTGTTTCACTAGTAGTAAGAATGCTCCTAGTAGCGATGCCAGGAGCCCCTAGTTGCTTCTTGCTCCTGGTAGCGATGCCCGTTGTTACTAGGAGCTTCTGTGAGAGAGCAAACAAAAAAGAAGAAACCGCTTCGCCGGTCCAAAGAGCAAGGATTTACTTGTTTTTCGCCCAGCGTCTTCTCAACACCCTTCCAAAGCAAAAAGCCAAAGGCTGCACCAACGGACCCCAAGCCCGCCTGCCACTTGCGATGCACGAAAACGCCGCGATGGAAGGCTTTCAAGACATTCTCTTGAGGGTTTAGGGCCTCCAACCTAATAGCAATGGCCTCCAACCTAGTAGTGACGGCCTCCAATCTAAGGGCGATGGCCTCCAACCTACTATATAGAGATGGCCTCCAGGCATTCTCTTAAGGGTTTAGGTCATTTAGGTGTTGAATGGCCAACAAGAACGCTTTGCCTTTACTAGAAGGCTGCTTAAGTATTAGGTCTGGGTCTGCACTACCCGTTGCCTTACATGACCCCAAAACTTTTGGGCCCACTTGAAATAGGAACTCAACTTCGTCATGTCCAAAGAAGCGTACCGACAGAAAATAGTCAACGCTGGTATAAAAAATGTCTGGCCGAGAAAAGGGCCTATATATAACTGTACTTTACATCCGCCTTTCATAAAATTATTTCAGCTCAAGATTGATCAAAACATGATTGTGCATGGCACTTGTTAAGGAAAATACCAATTGACCGATTCTGAATAGATCAGGTGTGGTATTCAACCGACGTGGGATCTTGGGCAGCGCCATTTTCCGGTCTTGCTCATTACCGGAATGTATAGATCAGACTGTTTAAAGCAAAGGACGCTACCAGAAACAAAGGGCATCGCTACTAGGAGCAAGGAGGCCTTACTGCTAGTAACAAGAAGCTGCTAGGTTGGAGGCCTTTGGTATTCGGATGTAGATCAGCAGTCAAACTCTGTTGGTTTGACTTTAAAAAGTCGATGATAATCTGGTTGCGGATATGGACTTGCACCTCCAAACCCATCACTGCACCAGCACCAAGCGAAGCAATGCAGCAAATCACCACCTGGAATTGCAACGTGTTAGTTGAAAGAATGGAGATCATTGGAAGCATTACCCAGGTAGAAGCTGCATTCTTGAACACAGAAAGAGTGTTCGTAAGTAGTAGTACTGGATCAGAATGCATTCAGCGTTGGAAGACCAAACCACAAACTCTGCGCACAAAAGAATGTTGTTCCTAGTAGCGTCCTTGCACCTAGTAGTATGGCCAAGAGCCCCTAGTAGCGTCCTTGCTCCTACTAGTATGGCTACTAGGGGCTCCTAGTAGCGTCCTTGCTCCTAGTAGCGATGCCCTTTGCTCCTAGTAGCGTCCGATCGCTCCTAGTGCTCCTAGTTGTTTTTCAGAGCCTTCAAATTCACCATGGGATCCACGTGCTGGTGTTTCAGCTCGTCGATAAAAGATGGATACCTCAAAGTGAGTTTCAGGAAAGAAATCATTACGGGAGCGTAAATCAAAGGACATTGATAAACACTGTTAGAAAAGATAAATGTAGCATTAAGTCAAATTAGCCCAGCTGGAGACCCCAATAGCAAGATACAAACCGGGACAAAAAGAAAAAACTGGAAACAGCTGCTGTTTTCAACACATCGACCATCTCTTCCTTGGACACCATCAAAACATGACCGGGACACCATCACAACATGACTGGGACACAATCACAACATGACCGGGACACCACCACAAGGTGACCGGGACACCAACATGACATGAAGAGAAAACCATCACAAGATGACCAGGACACCATCACAACATGACCGGGACACCGTCACATGACCCGGACACCATCAAAACATGACCGGCACACCGCCAAAACATGACCAGGACACCATCACAACAGGACCGGGACACCATCAAAACATGACCGGGACACCATCACAACATGACCGGGACACCATCAAAACATGACCGGGACACAATCAAAACAGGACCGGGACACCATCACAACATGACTGGGACACAATCAAAACATGATCGG